GCCTTGGTGTGTTTGGGGATGTCTGTATTGACTGACTGTGGTGTGCTGAATGCGATACGGCACCTGGTGGATGCTGATTACAGAATTTTAAGACGTGTATGATACAGTAACTGGCAGTGTGGGGCAGCTGCAATTGTATCTTGAAAGTGAGTCTTTCATGGGAATCAGAAGATTAGGATGCCAATGATTTGTCTCAAAAAAGTTAATGAATTTGTAGATGGACTTTCACTGAAAGATGATACTAAGGATAATAATGATGGCAGCATAAATTATTTTTACTAGAGAGGGGGAATATGTGTAGAAAAATCATGTTATCTATGAGACTGAAGCTTTTTTGTTCAAATAATTTTGAAGAAGTATTTCCCTCTTGCCTTGAAATTAATATTGCCTTGAAATTAATGAAATCAGGCTGGAGCTGTAGTACTGATGTTGTGCATTGTCCTCTCAGGTCTGGTTTTGAGGCCAGACCACACAGGGATAGTGCTGTGAAGGAAGAGGTCACGCCGTGCTGGATAGGTAAGTTGTTCTGCTGAAATGAGGTTGCAGCTGGAAGTGCCTTTTTACCTCTGCTTTTTTAACCATGAAGCAGAGCTGGTCACTCTGGGTAACAGGAAAATAAGGTGTTGGCAAAATAAAACCAAGTTTGTTCTTTCAATGTGAGGTGTAGAGCTGCCCTTTCTCACAGTATGTTTAGTGTGTTTAAAACAGCCTGGCTTTGTCTGGGTGCCCTTGTGCTGGGGGTTTTGGCTACAGGTTCAGTGGGGTTGAGGCTAGGGGAGATGCTGTTGTTACCAGTGTCTTGTTGGTGTGCCAGGCCTCTTGTGCCCTCGCTGGGAACTTGGAAAAGGCAGCTTGTCACCAGCTCACCTCCTGCTGTGTGCAGGGCACTGGGAGTGCTGGCTGCATCCTGCTGGAGACATTCCCTGGAGATCCCACCTTTGAGCCTCCTTGCTCCTTTCTGAGAGAGTGAGACATGCTTCAGCCAGAGTCACAAGCCTCATTGTTGGCATCATGCCTTTAATTGCACCAAAGAGAAGGAGGGAGGGCAGATGACTTCAACATGCAGTTGTTGATTTTGTTTTAAAGAGCATCTCCTGTTTTCATGGTGGCAGGAGCAGGGACAGTATTGGGGCTTCAGATGTTTTGGAATCCTTGAAATTCTCTTTTGTATCATCTCCCTGGCATGGCCAGTATTTGTTCCTGGTGTTATTTTGATGTTACATAATTGAGAAAAGATTAGGACCATGAAATCTTGTGTTAGAAGTCAAATCCAAAAGAAAACAGAGCCTACCTGTTTCTCTTGGAAGTCAGCAAGGTGCTTGTACCAGAGAGGGGCTCATGCTGGGTTTTAGACACATTGAAAGGTGAGTGAGAAGTGGAGTATGTGTGCTGCTGAAAGAGAAGTAACCTCTTTACTGCACTAATACCTACTGAAACGTGTTCTCTTGTCCTGGCTGAAATTTGTTCTGGTTTCCAAAATACTCCCACGGTCCTGAATTGTTTCTATTTATTTGTGTGTACTTCATGATACCTCCCTGTTCTAAAAATAAAAATAATTAAAAATCAAACTAAGTAGTTCGTGGTAGACAGGGTTCTTTGAAATTACTACAAATATCCTGAATGTAGAAAATTGTAATGTTTACCACATCTTAAAAAAGATAGATTCTGTAATGTTTTATGTTTCAGTTTATTAATTTGCCTGAATAGTTAACTCTTGAGCTGTTCAGCTAGGTTCTTTTAACTACTGAAGCTAATAAATTATTCCAGAATAATCATGAATTTTATTAAAAGAAAGAGTAATGTGATAAGCTGTTATTTCTATCACCGGTGACTTGTGACAACTGCCACGTTAAATATGTGCAGCCCATGTTTCTCCTAAGTGGGTTTATGCATTCAAGATGTACAACTCCTTAAAACTTGTGCAAATGTAAAGCACTCTGTTTTAAATAGAATTGTGATTTAACTTCAGCTAAGCACAAATTATTTTGCATTTCAGCCTGCACTGGCTACTCCAGGTGCAATGTATCCGCCCTACTCAGGTTTGCTGTTTAAGAAAAAACCCATGGAATCTGTCTGCAGACTTTTCACTGCCACTAGCTTGGTGGCAGTGGGTAGGAGACGACGTTTCTCCAGCTGGAGGATGAAAAAACATTGTAGGCACTGGTCTTCCAAAATACAGGAAGTAGGGAGCTTTGCAAGGGAGGAGGAGTACTAACCCTTCCTCTTGACTTGGTGTTCCTCAGTGACATTGATGGAATGTTTCTGGGGTACACAAACACTGGTGGAACAGGGAAAAGGCTGCTACCAGCCTCCAAGCTTCCAAAAGGGAGGTGGAGCTTCCCCAAAGTGCTGTGGAGATGGCAGTGAAAGTGGCTGTGCCTGCACTGCCCCTCAGGTTTACTCTGTAGGAGCAGATCTGGAGAGTGCAGGAGTTGGCTGGGGGACCTGATGCTCCCCTGGTGTTTGAGGGGCTGCTCGGGCTGGTGGCAGGCTGGTCCCGTGAGGAGTTACAAGGGCAGTTTCCACTTCAGTCCAAGAGAAGCAGTTTGCTCTAGATAGCCAAGGAGTAGCCAGTTTGCCTGTTGTGAGAGTCCTGTGCTGTGCAGAGCAGGCAGGGAGTGTGTGTGTGTGTGTGTGTGAAGAGGTGTGCTAAGGAGGTTCACTTCTAAAGGTATGTTCCTGTCAAATAACAGCAATGCTGTAGACAGGGGCTTAGGGTTGTTGGCTTTTGGCAGAATCAATAGCAATATCAAGGTGATGTGCTTGGGGACCCCAAGATACAATATTTCAAACTATTAAGAAGTATAAAAAGCACAGAAATTTAACTTTTGAAGACTATTTGTACCCATAGATAGTTTAGGTATAAGATACAGTTTTCTGTCCTAATAGGCATTTCCTAACACACGGGAAGCGGGTTTGGCCTTTGTGTGTGGATTAACAGATAAAATACAGAAGTACTATCCTAACTTCATGTCTATTTATTATTTCGTTGCCTATGTCCAGCCCTGTAGAGATTGGTAGAATTGCCACAGTTGTTTTAAAGGACTTCCTTTTCCTGAAGGATCCTTTCTTACCTGCTGCAGCTTTCCATCTGCCTTTTCCCACCCAAGGTCACCCCGACGTCTTCCCAGCTCACAGGGTCTGTCAAGGCCTCTGTATGGCAGAATGCCTGCTTTGGAGACCCGTGCTGTTAGCTGTACTTTCCTTCCCTCCTTTCCCAGAGAGCAGGCTTGCAGCTGGAGTGGCAGCACTGCAGCTGGGCCGGCTTTGCTGAGCACCTCCTGGGCACTCCATTGGTGCTGCTGCCCCGTGGTGCCAGCTGAGGGCAGGGACAGCCCTGCTCAGGCCATGTGTCCCCACAGCCCAGGGACTGTGCCCCCCTCCCTGCTCTGCTCCAGCAAGCTGGCAAATCACCCTTGCAGCTTCACAAACGTCAGGGAGGTGCATTCCTGGGACAGTGTTCCATGTTCTGGTAGCTGCCAGGCTTGTTCAAACTGCCCTTGCACAGCTCTGTTGGTCCTTACTGAGGTAGGGATGCTGCATTCCCCATTCCAATGAGTGGCCTAAACACCATTTATTCTGCCAGCTGCAGGATAGGACCATAACGTTGCTTTTTGAAAAATCAGTGTGTCTGGTGAAATTTTCAGTTTGAACAATATTGGCTAAATTTTACCATTTCTGTCCACTCACAGACTCAACTCATGGAGGATGAAGCAGAGAAAGTCATAAAAAATTTGTAATTGTTTAAAACTAATCACTTCTTTTAGCTTTTACTCCCTCCATACTATTTCCAAATGTTTGATTACACTATTCCACCGTTTCACTTCAATTAAAACAGGAAAACCACTGGAGGCTTTAAAAAAAAATTGAAGTAATGGTATTCACCACAGTATCCCTGTGGATTGAAATAATGGTGTGCAGGTTGGGTTTAGAAAGGTTGTAAGTAAATTCTCCATTTCAAGGCTGTCTTTGGAGCAGTTATTTCTTGGCTTCTCTTTGTCTTTGGAGCAGTTATTTCTTGGCTTCTCTGCATGGGTAGTGCCCATTCCAGGCCCATGGAACAGACACACATGGCAGTGTTGCATGTTGAGGCATGCTCCATGTGTGTGCTTGCTGTCAGCAGCGGGGCTGGGTCCGTGCTGCCATCAGAGCTCTTTGTGGCTCTGTGCACTTAATGCCTGCAGAGTTTTATTTTCTACGTGCAAAATGTGTGTGCTCAGCAGAGAAACTGATAAACCCACAGCAAATCAAATCTGCAGCTGTTGGAAGAGGGTGTGGGGCATGTAAGTTAACAAAATAGATGCAGTGAGTTTTGGAAAGGCAGTGCCTGGCAGCCTGGGGCGGGCTGAGCAGGAGCATGGGGGTTTCCTGCCCTCGGCAGCTCTGCTGCTGCTGCTGCTGCTGCTGTGGGAGGGGAATGCTTTGGCTTTGGCACTGCTGGGCCCTGAGGGGCAGGAACACTGCACAACAGGGGAATTGGAAAGGCTTAAATTGGGTATGGGGATTTCTCCAAACACAGATAAATAACATACCAAGGGCTATTTTGGTAAGAGTGGGGATGGAGGAAGTACTGCTCCGTGTTGACAATGTTTTCATCCCCAGTGACCCAGGCCCAGCACTGGGCCCCACCACAGCCACAGCAGAGACCCTCCACCCCTCCCAGGCAGCAGCACCACACCTCAAGGCACCTGAGCCTGGAATCAAAAGAGCTGAGGTAAATTATTTTTTAGAAGGGCATGTAGGGACAGAACAAGGGACATGGGCTTTAACTGGAGAGTTTGTGGTTAGATAATGGGAAAAAAATTTTCACTGTGAGGGTGGTGAGGCACCAGAAGCTGTGGATGTCTCATCCCTGGAAGCATTCAGGGCCAGGCTGGGTGGGGCTTTGAGCAGCCTGGTGTATTGGGAGGTGTCCCTGCCCAAGGCTGGGGGTCAGATTCGATCTTTGAGGTCTCTGCCAACCCAATCCAAGCCCTTCTGTGAGTCTGTGAAATCCCTGC